AGGCATCAGGCGAATTTTCCTGCGCTAATGAGCTTGGGGAGAGAGGTGGGGAGAGGGTGGGGTGCCAAGCCTGCGAACTTTTCAATGTGTATCTTCATCCTTACTTTTTCATCTGTCTTTTTACGACAGTGTCCCTGCAAAACCTGGGAACTCCTGCCAAGCTCTGCGAATCGGTACTCGCATCGCTGGAACGCCATTTCTGCTTTTTTTCGAACCTTGACCACTTATTTTGACAGGGGTTTAGTGGTGCCAGACAGGTGATAACAAGGCTTACAGGGTGTTTACAAGAGCGGCCGGTATTCACTCACACCTTGGTATGCTGACAAGCGCTTATAGGTGTGGCCCACTTCAAGGTTATTGGCGCCGATTTTTCTCATTTCCAAAGGGACGACTGTCTTCGACATGAAATGGATTCAAAACAACAAGTAGTTTCTCCTCTGTAGAGCTTCTATTTAGATCTACAAGTAGAGGAAATGAAAATAATCCTTGTCTTCGACTAAACTATTGTCTGCGTTCCAAGGAATTCCAGTTAGAATCCATTACTTGAAGTGAGATGCTCAGGCTGTGTTCATACTTTGCGGCAGCGTCCACTAGCGATCGTCCACCAGCGGGTATCGATTTAGTGTCTGCCAGCATCTACCAACGACCAGCAGCGTTTGTTGGTGTATGAGTAAGTGGCGTGATAGATAGCAGACGCTTGGTACAGTAATGGGTAGGTAGGATTGGTGGCAGGTATCTTGGTAGATGAGGCATTGCCGCGATAGAAGGCTAGCAGACAGGTGGTACCTTCCTATCGCCCCATACTCTCTACTAGTAGCCTGCTGCTGGTCGCTGGTGGACGCTGCTAGACGCTGGCAGACGCTAGATCAATATCTATGCTCTCTGACGCTGCCGCTGGCGGTAGCACGGAACACTCGTGGACTCTTTGTCGCTGGTGGACGCCGTCTCGAAGTATGAACGCAGCCCTACGACGCCGTCGCCTATAGTGTTTCAAGATTCAATCCGAATTTTCCATGTAATTTTGACTGGTTTCAAGATTTACGTGCAATTTTTACATCATAGGCTTCTCCGTGGGCAGTGTTCACAATGCTGAATCATGAAGCAGTTCAATTGCGATGATCCAGGACGAGGATGTCGCCTGAGATTACCAAATATCCGTGCAGTGCCATAGAGCATCACTTTCTGGTGACGGAGAAGATCCAAAATTTGGTGCATTGGTGTATCCGCTCCAGTGCGCGTCGTACGCTGGGATTTCAGCGTGGTGGAGCGGGGGGGGGGGGGAGGATCGCATTTGGTTAGTGGAGAGAGGTGAGTCAGAGCAGACAAGGAGGAAGTTCAGATGAGGGTGTTATTTCGATAATTTTCCCTCAACGGCTGGTCGGCCCTGGTCCGCTCCTCACCGAATTGAACAGGGCTCTCAAAGCAAGCGTATCTGACATGAACTTTAATATTACCAAATGAGTGGCAAGACGGCCTCCATAGAGAGTCATATTTGAGGTTTGCTTGACAGATGTTGGACTTATTGACTCACTAACAAGGGAGGTCGTTCAGGGCGTGGTGCGCTTTTCGAAAAACGGTTTTTTGCATATTGTAGGGGCTCATGCAAGGACCTGAAAAGTGTGCTTCATTTCGCTGCGCGCTTCCGGGAAAGGTAAAAAACGAGTGAAAAGAAATACTTCGGATTGCTTCGTTTGTGGGCTCTATATCGGCGCAAGGTCATTGCGAGCTTCAACCAGAATTGCTGAATGAGGACCTTATAAAGGCCATATTTGAAATAGAGAGCGTAAAAATGTCGCAAGTAGAGCTTTCCAACTTGGGTCACATGTTCAAGGATGTAGAAAACGCCTTCTTGCAATGGTATTCATAACGATTCCATCATAATTAGCACAAGACGCATTTTGAAAAAGCTCACCACGCCGCTGAAACGAGCCTACCTCTTCCATAAGTCCTTTAAGAGCCATCGAATTCTTGGAAAGCATTCAGTAGCTGTAGGGATGCCTTATGGTATGCGTGTTGATGCTGTTGAGTAAAATATTCAAAAATAATTGGGGCATTAATTGTAAAGACTCGGCCAATGAAGAGCAAAATGCAGTAGAAGAAAGTCGGAGAACGCTTCTTGAGCTACTCCTACTATTTTCTAGACCCATTATGTGTGACTGTGAGCCAGAAAAGGACGAGGCCAGTATTGATTCTTCTTGATTGAATCCTAGCCCTGGCCGAGTATACAGACGGAGACTTCATTTTTGAAGCTGTTCTGCCCCAGAAGATTGCTGTGCTGGAAATTCCTGAGTCGGCAGGCCCGAGAAAGCACTAGAAAAGGTACGTGTAACTAGAGCAATTTCTTGCCATTTGTGCCATCTAACTTACAACTATGTCTAGCACGAGATTATGTTTTGTAAGCGTTGCACAATTACTGACAAGAATAAATTTTCCATGCATTACTTTGCTGGATTCTGCAGTCAATTCCTAAAATCATCTTGCTGTATTCAGGGCCGTCGCCTGATGAGATGAAGGATTAAAAGATAAGATGTTGTGCTCAGTGCAAAGGTCACCAACTCCGCTGCATGCTGCGCAAGAATGTTGGTGAAGCAGATTAGGTGATTTATTCCCACAAAAAGTGTTAAAGTTAACTTGAAGAAATTTCAGGATGGTGGGTTTTTAGGATTGGTGGTGTAAGGATGGGTTAATATGTACGGAGTGGGCGCAGATTTTAGAAGAGGCGTTTTTCAATGAAATTATTCTCCACGGGTCAAGGTTGAATGATAACCGAGTGACTTCCGGAGCGGGTTATCCAGGGCGATGAGTGTTTCCCGACATGAACAGGAAGGCCGATATTTCGACTGAAAAGAATTTGTATCGGTAATACAATATTTAATTGTTTCACGGACGCTATAAGGGGTGGGGGATTGTATTTCCCGGAAGTTTTCCCCAGCGGCGATATGTGCCGTGGAAAGAACAACAAAGCGAAACTAAAACTAAACAGGGGAGGGGAGTCGTATTAAGCAATTCCTTAAGGGGAGGTCGCACGGTGTCGGGCCGAATGCACAATCCATAATGTGCTCTGTTTCGGAGTCAGCTGACGTACAACTCAGTGTTTCTACCATCCCAGATGAATCTGGTTCTACTTTGTCACCCCGAAGGTCAGAAGACTTCTTTGGCCCTGTTTCAGGCGGACAAGTTGCCACTTCACCATCTCCGCCTTTACCATCACATATCTCCCAATAAATCGGAGTAACTTGAGCAGATGGCATTTCCATCGCCAGAATGTAAATCACGCAATCGGCAAGGAGAGACAGCGCCATTGAGAGACCCAGTTTGACAGTATCGCATGCGATTCCAACGAGAGGTTGGCACGAGGAGGTCGTTAACTGGTTACCAAAGTGCTGTCGATCATTCTGCACGAGATGTGTCCTTTCATTGTGAAACGACATGTATAGCATAACTGATTGTAGAGGGTTTTTTATAATGTACGCATTTATATGATGACCTGATGGCGCGGTATTTCGGGGGAGCAATACCAAAAACCTGTTCTCTACGCGCTCATCGATTCTAAGCGCTAATTTACGACATTCCACGCAATGATGAAGATGACTCGCGCGCAACTAAAAAGCTAGCATTTCGCTTTTATTAGATGCCAGATGTTATGCCAAGACTTGAAGACGACCCCTTTATCACTGAGGAGTTATGCATTTTTCAAGGGGGTGCAGGGAGCAAAGGTTGTTAATGAACTCAGAGTGCGGTATTACGGGGAGAAAAAATGTCAAAGATCTTTTAAACAGCTCACTTTCGCCATTGTCATGAGATACTTGGAATGCCTTATGGGGGACTGAGAACATGGGGATCTTCTAACGGCGGGTCGTAATCGTCGCTGGAATTGGCAGGGGCGGTATCGGACATGGGGAAAAACTTTTCCATGTTGGTTTTTCCTAAGGTTCACAGCCGGTGGTGCCCCTAATTATCTCCAACGCCAGGACATGCCCTGATTGGAAAGGCAAATTCTCTTTGTCCTATTTCTTCTGGCCTTCACCAGATTGGATGGCTCTATTAGGCCTACGCTTCGGCGTCTTCGTCAGAGCCTGAAATAGACAGAAAAGTAAAAAATGTGGTCCCCACCCCTTTCCCCAAACCTCAACAATCCTCAAGATAATTTCACTAAACTAGTGAAGCATCCAACGTATCGATCGATGGAATTGTGGCTCAACTTGATGAGCCGATCATAAAGGTTTGAGCACCCCGGGGATAACCCTAGAGTGGAGTAACGCTTACCTGTTACACCATTCGGTATTAAGGTAGGCCAAAGCTTGCAAAGATAGAGAAAAAGCGCCAGCTTACGGGTTATATCCACCCGGACCTCCTCACTATTCACTTGCGAGTCCTTTGTGGTAATCCCTCCCTTCGATGGTTCTCCTGATCGGGACGATCTTGTCATTGGAAAAGCGGTCCAAAAGAAATAGATGCTCTGCCAGAGCAGATCAAAGACAGTCCCAGTGCCCAACCAATTCGTAAGTCCTTGCTTGTTCTGGTAGTCTGGTCAGCAGTCCCTGAGGTTGACCCATTTTAGCGGCTTTACAGTAAGTAAGGGAGGCGCTGTGGCCCTTATAAATGGTAGTTCTGACGCCTATCTAATTGCCCCAGTCGCCAAATTCAGAGGCTATTTTCTGTCACGAGTTCGGTTTTTACACTGTGCTTTTCGTTTTTTCCGTTGTTGGCTGGTATTAGCATTAGATGACGCCAAGAAACGATTGGTGAGCCAGGGGGGACAGGATGTCGCTTCGCTGGCATATAATGAGCAGGTGCTGAGAACTCGTCCAGAGAGGCGGCCAGTTCCTTACTCCGAGTGTTCTCCACGATTTTTTTTCTCGCTTTTCTCTTCCCTGGGGGGGGGCACTTAGCGACTATAGGTTTGCAATTGAGCACCACTATCCACAATATGCCATGGCGGCGTTCGTCTTACAAGTATACTGATACAGGGCATGGACGGTGATTTTCTTGATTTTCAGATCGGCGAAAACATGCCGCCACCAATAATGATGGACGCGAATCACAAGACAGTAAAAGAAGAAAATCGTGCCGACAACCGTTCTTCAATGACTGATTGTTGATTATTGATACAGTACTACAATCGTTGTCAACACTAGGCCCTGTTTGTCCACGAAAACAGTAACAGTAAATAAGTGTGGTATAGTTGTAGGTAGAGGGGTGTTTTGCACGTCTGCTGATTCCCCTCTTCGTGTCAAACCACCAAGTAAAAATTTTTGAAATTTTACGAAGGGGTGATAGCGCTCAAATTCGTAGAAATTACTTGTCAACTCCTGTAAAGTACACCTGTCAACTCTTGTAAAACAAATAACACAATAACAAGGGAAGCAGCGAAAGTGCGAAATACCCCCCTCTAGTCACCGAGCTGCTCCTTTTGTTGGATCGAAACAATTGTTATTGAAGCACAATTCCACCGCTCATGGAAGTAGTATCGATCGGAACTTATTAGTAAAAAGGGATTAGAGCTGAATCGGTCAAGAATGCTGTCGATTGCCGATCAAAATGCCGTCACACCCTTGTTTTGCACTTCAACCCGTTTGACAGCGGGGGGACAGTCTTTATCGAGAAGCTTTGTGGGCTGAAAATTCGAGTCTGTGGGCAGTGTACACTTATAGAGACACTCCCAGGCACTCCCATCTCTTTCAAAGGAAAAATAGAAAAATCTCATTAAAAATCATCAATTTTTCTACTAATTATTTCACGACTTTTCTCAGAATGAACCGGAGATAGATCTGGACCTTTCTGCGCGTATGCACGCATGCTTTGATATGTCCTTGCGTCGTGTTTTCTTCAAAGATATACGTGAATAGAGGGGGGACGTACACACAGCACAGCAATCGTCGTCGTCCGTCGTTCACCTATCCCCGCCCGTCATCGCTCGCGCTCGGTTCCCCCCTCCCCGTGTGATGCCCACCCTATTCCCACTGGAGCGATTCTCCCTTTCAACTCACATTCTCCCCCCTACACGCTCTCCACTCCAACCCATTTCCTATTCGAATCCAGACTGCTACTCAGCAAGTCACTCAACTACTGAATTCGATCTTTATTCCTTTGGACCCCGTAGCTATCCTGGCAGATTTTTTTCAATTCTTTATCCTATTTTGCAAAATTTAGATTAATTTGTGTCGGTATGACTTGTTTACTACTACTTTACTACTTGTCAACGTCAAACACTGTGTATTATGCCAAACAAATGGGACATCTTTACAGCATCTTTAACTACACGTCCGAACTGGTTACCGTAATGATATCTGCGTTTACTACTTTTTCGTTTCTCTACGATAGATTTGTTTATTTGGCACCACATGATTCCGTTTTTATCCGTCTCTCTCATTTTTTTCAACGAAATTGGCAGTAGACAAAAATTCCAAGCAGTTCTGAAAACACGTTCTCAAAGAGATCTCTAAAATAAACTGGTTTTTCATGTCAAAAATCCAAAATCGACGGTCTTCTCAAAGTGGGTTGGAGTTGGGGTTCGGACTAGAAACAGCTTAACCTATTTATTTTATTTTTATTTGCCCTGCTTTTCCTTTTCTTTTCTCAGGCCCTTGGAGTACTGCCCATCTCCATCTCTGAGATGCTAGCGAACTAAACATGAGAATCTCGCAGTTTGGCTTGGTGAGGGCAACAAGTGTACTCAGCTGAGCTTGTGCAGGCTGGTGAACAGGGTACAGCATCGTTGGGAGAATCCCATTGGGGGTGGGAAGATGGTACCTGCTTGCTGCCTTGGAGAAGGGGGTCGTACTTGGTCTATGAGGATTGTATCTGCCAGTCTGTTCCAATCACTCCATCTTTCTACACCATCTATTTTCTTCAATGGAGGTAGTGAGGGCTGGTGGGGACACCAAATGGTAGAAGCCTATTCAGCCCATCTTGTGGAGACCTGAAAGGATTTTTTTCGACGATAAAATTTTTCCGGTTGTTGATTGTTTTCGAATTTTCCTGTTCCACGTATACTATCAGTTTTCTGGGGAAAAACTGAAAAAAAGAAAATTGACAGGAGTATGAGAATGCTCAGGAAGGCGGCGTGCAGGATAGAGAAGGGGGTCGTCCCAAAGGAGGGGAGTTGTGTGGGAGGAAGGCTCATATTTCTTTCCTCAAATCACGATGCTCTCCCTTGCTTGTGAAGAGACTGTAAGTTTTTGTTACTGAAATGGCTTACTTGTACCACTGCGCAACTTTATAGGACTTTACAGGTTAGTCAAGTGGAATGGCCCAGTTCGGCTTGAGGGGGGGGGAGGGGGGGGGGGGGGGGATTTTGCACATTCGATACTTCCCATTTGTCGCGCTTAATGGTCTACAAAAGTTGACAGGTATTATTAAGGTGGTTGACGGGTAATTTCTTCAACTTTTTAGTGATAAGTCTGATGGCTTGACGCGACGGCGGGAAGTAGCGAAAGCGCAAAATGCCTCCCCCAGGCCAATCTGCGCTACGGTAACTAACAAAATGAACTAGTGAAAGTGCGAAATGACTCCCCTCTAAGCCGAAAAAACCGCAATCGCTTCTGACTTCTCTGCAGAACCAGTACATATCAAATTCTCATGTTCTTCTCAGCTATGTACTTCTGTCATCCTCGTTGTTTCTTAAATTGTTCGGGCTATAAAAAACCAGCCTGAGAGTTGTAAATGACTCGTTCAGAAGCGAAATTGTGTGGTGCATGAGCTGAAGGGCGATATTCACCTGCTGGTGTTACTGTAGTGAAGAAATTGGCGACGACGAGGTGTCCAACAAGTGGTGTGATGAGCTGACGAGTCTATTTCTATATGCGTTTGATTGTTCTCGTGATATTGTTGTTCATGACTGCTATGCTCGTTGACTGTACACCACGTACTACTGATCTGCCGTCTGGAAGTAGCGGTTCGTTCCTATCATTCCATCATTCTTCATCATCCATTGTCTTTTTTGAGCGAAATTCGGCCTGATGGGGGCAGCGAACGCTACTCATCGCAGCCTGTACAAGCCACTTTGTTAGAAATTGTAAATACTTGTAACCAAACTGGTTCAGTAGCACCATCTCGCAGCTTCACATGAGTTTACAGGTCTTAACAAAACGAGACTTGTTAGGTAACAGGAACTAAAAACGTGAACTGAGAAGTTGCTGTCTCCCCCCTCCCCTTCCAAGTCCCTCTGAGCGCTCAATATTGTTCTGATTTTTATTTGTCTGGGCGATTCGTGAAAGGACAGGTCTGGCTCTCACGTAAATATCGCGCGACTGTGCCACATCACCAATGCAGCTGTGGGTGGTCGCCCCTAAGTTCAAGACGGGTCGATCAATCACCCAGTTCCTTTAATTCCAATGCCTTCTGTCATCGATCCACGTTCGCCACATTGATTTGGGAAGAATGGAATGGGAGAAGTGAATTGGTGAAGGGAATGTATGAGAAGTTCTACACGCGAATAGGGACGATTACTAGTAATCCTTGCCTAATCCAACCATCTTAGCCAGCCATCCATTACTGCAAGCAGTGCTGGGAAAAGTGTAGCGCTCTGGAGTTGCGGAATCCCAGAAACCTGGTCATGAACTTGTAGTTATAAAGTAATGGGGTTTTATTTGGATGGAGGCAGTCTAGTCAGCGAAGTCTACTTTTTTCTCTATCGATGTTGAAAAAACTTCCCCTCCTCCCCACATTCATCAAAGGCAGTAGAGATAAACGGAAGACAGGTGCAGTGGGTTTATTGGGGGCATTTTGCTGGCTCCCATCGGAAGGGTGGGAGGCGTGAGGGGACTGACGGCGGAAGAAATGGAGTTTACTAAGAAAGAAGACCGTTTTGGACCTTTCTGGCGTTTTTCAGACCAAATGTCATACTAATACGGCGCAGTTCGGCTTGATGGGGGTATTTTGCTGCTTCCCCTTTGGGAGGGGGCTGACGGGCTGAGGGTGAAAAGAAGAAAATCCACTGGGAACTAAGAAGACAGCTCCCGACCTTTCCGAGGTTTTTTGTACTGAATGTCATATTTAATTCGGCGCAGTTCGGCTTGTTGGGAGCATTTTGCTGGTTTCTGTCGATGGGAGGGAGCCGACGGGCTGACGGTGGGAAGAAGGGAAACCACTAGGAACAAAGGAGAGAGTTTTCGACCTTTGTGTGGTTTTTTCAGATCAAATGTCATACTTACTTCAGTTCAGTTCGGCTTGATGGGGGCATTTTGCTGGTTCCCATGGATGGGTAAGGGAAAGGGAAACTGATGGGCTGACGTTGGAACGTAGAGAGTCCACTGGGAACAAAAGAGACAGGACATCCTTTTTCAGACCAAATGTCATACTTCAGTTCAGTCCGGCTTGATCGGGGCATTTTGCTGGTTCCCAACGATCACTACGATTGCCTCCTGAAAACCTGGTATTTTCTGTGAAGATGCAGATTTTTCTCCCACTTCTAAATGAATTACAAGTCTCACCGGAGTGGGGCTTGTAGTTTAAAAGGATCTAATAAAAGAAACTAGTGAGAGTGCAGAATGCCCCCCCTAAGCCGAACAGCGCCAGGAAGACATCTAAAAGCTACCGAAAGTAGCCTCAAAGTTTGCATCCTTTCGAATTCCAACGCCTTTTTCCGTTAAAAAATTTAATTTTTTCCAGATTCTGTTCTGTCGGGATTTGAACGAGTACGTTTGCGAGCACATCGACGGCGGCACCGTCACAAAACAGTTAATAATGCTGAAGCGGACGAGTTGTTCGATATGTTCGGAGATCAGCTTCACGGACAACATCAGCACCGTACAAGAAAAAACAAGGTGGTTAAGACGCTCCAAACTTGTCTTCATTGCCCAAAAAAGAAACTTCATTAGTTGTGAGGGAACCTTACCAGTTCCTGCCCACCAGAAACCCTGCACATTTGCATTCCATTGTAGCCTATAATTGTTGGCGAGTTGAAAACTTGCTGTAGCAGCTGGGCGCGGAACCAGTTTTATCGATGATACTCAATCAGTTCATTAACGTTTGTCGATGATCGCCTTGTACATTAAGCGTCACTAGTTAGTTCAGCTAGATTGCGCTTACGGATTCCTGGACAGCTTCGTTGAGAGAATCCCATCAGGGGTCGTATATAGGTTTTAGGAGGGGAGAGAGG